TGGACAACCATGAAGCAAGCCATGGTTTTATTGGCTTGCCATTGTGATGTGAACATATGAGAGTGCTGGAGGTGAACTAGTTAAACAGGTTACCCAATCAGAACCCAGGGGGGTGGAGTCAGAGGGACTATAAAACCAGCTCTGGGAGGGGCGAAGGGAGGAGTTCGTTGGGAGTTGGGTGGTTGGTTGGATGGAGTGGGAGTGAATTGGGATAGAGTCTGCGGGTAGGTTGAGTTAGTGTAGCGAATTAAGCTGAGTCAGGAACAGTTAGGAGCTAGGAAGACAAGTAAATATCTGAGAGGTGGTTTAGTGAGTGAGAGCAGGTAGCGGAAGTTATAGGTTTGGATAGGCATCCCATGCTTGTAATTGACTGATACCGTTTATGAAACCACACGCTTGTTAAACTGCAATAAATAAACAGAAGTTTATGTTCCAAATTAACCCTGACTGGACTCAGTATTTTACCAGCTAGGGCCTGGGTGGTGGCAGAGAGAAATAAAGTGGTGACACAGGGTGAAACATCCGGGGACCCTGTGTGATAGCCACAGCCATCAAGCCACATCCACATTGTGGGGTTGAGAGCTCCCCTCAAGTGACAGCACTGCAGCTACGACAACCAAGCAATGCACACGCATGGCTGACCATTTGCCAGGCAGACAAGGCCCCTCTTGTCAGCCAGCTCTAGGTTGACACAATTTTGGAAGCGCAGGTCATTCTTTTGCAAATGGATGACAAGCAAATTAGGAGGGCTTCAGTGTTGGAGCTAATTCTAGAACAGGAGCACAGCCTGGAGCATCTCACCCCCCCCCTTTGGAGATCCAGGAAATGTGTGCCCACGGCAAAAGGTTGAGTTGCTGTGACCAAAGCACTGAACTCACACGCTGCTCTGCCCAGTACACAATACTGTGCTCAACAATCTATACACATTTCCAGTCTAAAACATTCAAAGATTACTGGCACTTGGACTTTCCTGAGAAGGACAGACATAGCCCTTATATGCCCTGGAACGCCAGTGGCCTATAGGGTACTGTGCCTCGTGGAGGCCCCAGTGGGCTGCCCAAGTAGCTGCCCCAATAGGGAAGGAGTGCATGCCATACTCTTTGGGGGCAGACCAAGGGTGTGTAGGCTGTTCCTGAGCCTATTACCTGATGTCTAGTGAGCAATCTTGGTGAATGAACAACTGGCACTCATCACTAGGCCATACTCTCATGTAGCCTTGAATGCCCTGTACAGTGGTACCTCGGGTTAAGTACTTAATTCGCTCCGGAGGTCCGTTCGTAACCTGAAACTGTTCTTAACCTGAAGCACCACTTTAGCTAATGGGGCCTCCTGCTGCCGCCGCACCGCCGGAGCACGATTTCTGTTCTCATCCTGAAGCAAAGTTCTTAACCCGAGGTACTATTTCTGGGTTAGCGGAGTCTGTAACCTGAAGTGTATGTAACATGAAGCATATGTAACCTGAGGTACCACTGTACTGGATAGAGACCATGAGCAGGAGATGGTCTAAGGAAGACTGAGGCGTCTCTGCCCTTTTGGTCAGTTTTTGACTGACATATGAAAATGAACACCGCTGAGTCCCCAGTGTTGCATAAGGCAAACTTGACCTGCCCCCTGCAAGGGGTCAAAGAACTCACCCACTCTTAAAGCCCCCTCTCTCTCCTGACATCCCACAGGATGTGAAAGAGAAGCCCCCCCCCCTCCATGAGGCCATTTATAGCCTCCACCTACTCCTCCCTCCTACTGGCAATTGCCAGGTTCTTCTTGAGAGGAAGTGGCTTCTTGCCCAGCTTCCTCTCCTTCTGCAACAGCACTTCCAGTCAGATCCCTTCAGGACCACTCAGCTGACTGCTCTGTTCTCCTTCGCCTGATCTCTCAGATTGCCCTGCTTTCCTTCCTAACCCCTTGGTCAGTTTGCTTTCTGTTCAGCTGCTCAGGTGGTGACCTGAGTGTTGTCAACCAGAGAGCTGTCAGAGAAATTGGGAAAGAGTGTCATTTCTTCAGCTTTCTCCTTCAGCTCTATGCACTTCTCAAGCGGAAAATAGCACCTGCCCTCACCAACTCATGATTAAGGGGCAGTGTGGGGAGTGCCAGAGGTTTTGCAGGTGCCAGTGGGAAGTCTGAAAGCGTGACATTGCACACCTGGGGTCTACTTTGGTGACCCCATGTTTAAACTTACTGCAGCTTGGTCCAAATCAGACACAAGTAGAGTTAGATTAAATTAGGAAGCTGATTATTCCAATCCATTATTCGTAGCCAAATCACAGGAGGAGCATAGAAACTGGACCTAAAATGGCTTAATAATAGTAGTTCTTGGAAATGTTGTATATAGTGTTGATTGTTTCTATTTGAATAGCAGAGCCTCTCAAAACTCATGTCACCAAATGTAGTGGATCTGGGATTTTTCCATAGTAGCATGCCCTAACAGAGATAAAGCAAACTTGGAACTCCACCATAGTTTTTGATCGGAATGAATATCTGATGTGGTGTGCTGTACAGTCAGAATGAACCCCTTGCGATATCTATATCTGGCTTAATCTCTGATATATATTTGGTTATTTTGGTTAATTTGGTATTCTGAACTTTTGTGTCAAATAGGAATGTCCTGAAAAAGAACTAATAAAATATCTTTGATTCTTTAGTGTATTCTGGAAGAGAAATGGATAAGAACTCAAGAAGTGGCCTGCTGGCTGGCCTGGCCCACTTATGAGGTTAGGTGGGGCAACTGCCTCAGGTGGAAAGGTCCAGCAGGTTAGCAGATCCCAATGTTGATCTTTTCCTCCTCCCCATTGTTTCTGATGTAGATCTTCCCTGACTCTTACTCCCTGGCGGGGAGCCCCCCCCTATTTTGAGGTCTGTCTCAGGTGCCAAAATGTCTTGAGCCAGCCCTGCCTGCTGGATCTGTCCAAATGTCCGTCTAGTCCATAATTGTGTCCTCACAGTGGCCAATGAGTTACCTATAGGAAACCCACAAATCTTTTTGCAATGGAATAAAAAGGAGATAAAATGCACAAATATCTATAAGCCACATCTTCAATACATCTAGGGTAAAAGCAACTTCAGTGGGTAGGTGGGGAAATATAGTTTTGGTGATGGTAAATCATATGACGGACAAGTCTTAAGGAGCTTCATCCCCTTCCCCCTCAAATGACACACTCATCTTGTAAAACAAAAGGGAAAGCCTAGAAAAAGAATAGAGGACTATATATAAGGTGTATGTATTTTAGCTCCAAGTTCACAAATATCTTGGAGAAAGAATTTTGTGCTGATATATTTGACATTTTAATGCAGACAACATTTTGTGAAGGAGTTTCAGGAAGCATAAATTCATTAAGTACATAGTTACATTTTGTCACATTTTTAATAACTGTTACGTAGGGCTTTCCCCAGAATTCAATACTGATGGTGGGTTTTACTCTGAACAAACTGGGTGCATCTGTTGATTCAGGAAATGCACCTTTGATGACTTGACTGTTATTCAGTCAAGGGGAATGTTATCTTTATTAAACATGTTCAAATACAATAATATTGATTTTAAAATCAAATAAGTATGACAGTTACGCAAAATATTAATTAATTTAAAGTTTCAGTTAATCACTGAGGCTTGTTTTTCAAGATGAGGAGTATATTCAAGGTAGCTGTATATTTAAAAGACCACAAAGAAAGCTGAACTAGGTGAGTGGTAAAGGTGAGTGGGGAGTGGTAAAGTAAAGGTGAGTGGTAAAGTCGTGACCGACTCTGGGGTTGCAGCGCTCATCTCGCTTTATTGGCCAAGGGAGCCGGTGTTTGTCCGCAGACAGCTTCCGGGTCATGTGGCCAGCATGACTAAGCCACTTCTGGTGAACCAGAGCAGCACACGGAAACCCAGTTTACCTTCCCGCAGCAGCGGTACCTATTTATCTACTTGCACTTTGTGTTTTCGAACTGCTGGGTTGGCAGGAGCAGGGACCAAGCAACGGGAGCTCACCCCGTCGCAGGGATTCAAACCGCCAACCTTCTGATCAGCAAGTCCTAGGCTCTGTGGTTTAACCCACAGCGCCACCAACAAATTATGTAAGGAAATTGCCACCACATAAGGGAAGTACATTTCAGGATTTCCCTTCTGTTGTAAAAATGCAAGTTTTTAAAAATCTTTAAAATATTTTCATCTAATTTGGAAAACCAAGGGTGGGCATACGTATGTAGTAGTGTTATCATAAATAATATAATAAGTATTTATCTGCCATGCCTTTGGTTAGCAAGACACTCATGCTCACCAAAAGAACTATTAAAAAGTAATTGTGTAAGCACTTTTTAGTACTTTGTTAAGAACTGCAGGTTGCAGTGGAACCTTAAAAAGATGCTGTTTGAACATAATCATTGTGATTAATAGATCCATAATTCACTCTGACCTTGCATTCAGTATGTTACCATATGCCCTATTTAAAATCTACTGCTTAATTCATCAGGTATCAATTTGTTATCATCTGCAGAAGCACAGCTCAAAATTAACTTCATTAGGCTGTTACATCTAACAGAACATACAGATATTTCTATAAATATTCTGTAGGATTCAGGATTCCTCAACCATCTCCAGCCTGGTTAACATCTTGAGCATTTACGCTCCGACTATGTACTCTGATTTACAGTTCTATGAGAAACTAGACCAGGCTGTCAGAAGGATCCCACCCTAAGAAACCTATTCCCGCTGGGAGATTTCAGTGCCAGAGTTGGAGATGATAACCACACATGGAACAACCACATAGGACACTTTGGTACTGGCAGCATGAATGAGACTGGACAAAGGCTGCTTCAGTTGTGCTTGTATCACAGTCCCTGCATCACAAACACATTCTTCTCTACCAAGGCAAAATGACAAGTGTTCTAGAGACACCCAAGGTCAGGCCACTGGCACCAGCTGGACTTGATTATCACCAGGTGATTGGCACTGAGTTGTGTTCATGTCACACAGAGCTGTCACAGTGCTGACTATGACACGGATCACTCCCTGGTAGCAAGCAAGATCCTTCTCCAGCCAAAGAGGGCCTATAGCACACAGCAGAAAGTGTGGCCTCGAATCAACACTTCCAGAACAGTCATACCTGACCTTTGTGAATGCTTCCCTGATTCTGTCAAACAAGCATTACTGAACTGCCCTAGAGACAGCAACAAAGTAAGGTAGAACCACATGAAAGAGGCAACCTACAACACAGCTATTTTGACAAAAGAGAGCAGCAGATCACCAACTGGTTTGAGGGCGGCATTAAGGATATGAAGCCGTAATATAGACAGTCGTTTACCCTCGCTAGATTCAGCTGATTCCCTGGTGGCCCGCTGGAATGCGGAGTTAACCAGGGCTATCGACTGTCTGGCTCCGAAGCGCCCTCTCCGATTGCATGGAGCCCGGACAGCCCTGTGGTTTTCTTCGGAGCTGAGGACAATGAAACAATCGCTGAGATGGCTAGAGCGTCGGTGGCAGAAAACTCACTCCAAATCTGACCGGACACAGGTTAGAGCTCAACGTCGAGCCTACGGAATGAGTTTGTCCCTGTGGCGCGATAGAAGTGGAAACCGTCTCTCACGTCCCGCTACGATGCCATTTTTACAGGGATATACGCTCGGTTTTTATCACCCCTGTTATACAGAAAATTCCAAGTGGGCCTGAGCCTCAATGCTGAAAATCTTTGATAGAGGACAAGGATCCAGAGATCATGTTAAAGGTGGCCACATTTTGCGCGGTTGCCATAAAACTTAGGGAACAAGCTGTGCTATTGTAAAGACCAAGGCCTTAGAAGCAAATTATAGATAACATTGTAGAGATTAAGACTTAAACCATATTTTAACTGCTGCCATAATTGTATTGTTTATTGTTATTTTGATTATTTGTTAATTTAATTTTAATTTTATTGTGTTTCTTAATTGTTTAGTACAGTATGTGAGTCTGGTCTGGGACTGTAATAAATTCAATTCAAAGAATATGAAGCCTGTTATCACTGCAAAGCATGAAGCTTTTGTGAACCACAAGCATGCACCTTGCAAAAAGATGCTGTCTGCATTGACAAAGGCAAGGAGCAATGCCCAGTGGATTGCCAGACAATGGGCTGATGGCTACTGGCTAAAGCTGTGTCAGAGCATTCAATTTGCTGCTGATGCTGGCAATACTCACAAAGTGGATGAAGGCATGAAGAAAGCCTTTGGACCAACTGTCAGGAAAACTACACAGCTGAAAACCTTGTCTGGAGAAACCATCACAGACTGCAGCAAGCAGATGAAGTGATGTGCAGAATACTACCAAGAACTGTACTCACAGTAAAACATGCTCTTCAGCACAGCAACTGATAGCATCTGGACTCTGCCTGTCTTGGAAGGGCTGGATGTCCCTCACTCCCTTGCAGTGCTGAATAATGCCATCAATTCTCAGGCATGTGGGAAAGCCCCAGGATAGGATGGAATTTCAACAGAAGTGCTGAAAGTTGGCCTCAACTCCTCCTCAGCCTTCTCTTGCAGTGTTGGAAAACAGAATCTGTCCCACAAGACATGGGTAACTCCAGCATTGTGACCCTCTACAAGAACAAAAGTGACGGTCACAACTGTAACAACTACTGTGAAACCTCCCTGCTGAGTACTGTGGGGTAAGCCTTGGGTCATGCAGCTCTCAACAGATTACAGTCACTTGCTGACAGGATCTATCCTAAGTCACAATGCAACTTTGGGGCTCAGAGGTTAAAAGTTGACATGATTTTCTCACTGTGCCAGCTGCAGGAGAAATGCCAAGAGCCTTCTACATCGCCTTCATAGACCTGATGAAGGTGTTTGACTCCCATACTTATCAAAAGATGCTCTGAGAAGACTCTGAGAAGGTTAATGTCCATGTAATATTTTAGACAATCCATGCATTACACAGTGCAAGGGGTTTAAATTGAGCAGCGGGAGACATGATTCAGAATTATGAGCCTTACAAATGCCATGAACATGCATGCCCATACAGCACAACATACAACTGTGTGATCAGCCAATGTGCCAACACATGCTTAGGTCATTACTGTTTCCTATACAGAAGTGTTGTTTGTGTCAAAACTTTGTCATGTGTGATGTGCTCTGAGGTTTTTTTTAGGCTGTCTAGATCTGTCTCTTCAATGACCTCTTTGATTTTCATACTTCCTTTCTTCTTTACAGCCCAGTAAAGTGTGACTTATGTGGATTACCCTATAATAGATTGGTATCTGGAGAAGGTTGCCTAGCTTGGTTGGTGGAAAATCAACTTCTCATTCTACTTGTTCTGAATTGATCAAAGGTATGTGAATACAGCCTGACTTGCTGGTTGATTAGCAGGCATGCGTGCAGCTCCAGATAGGTATATCCATGATGAAGTAAAATTCCATGCATCCTTAGCTGCTTGCATTTATTTCACTCACTGCATAAAAACTGTACTTGAAGTCAATGACAGTCAGATTCTCTACGCTGATTCACTGATGTAGCTGCACAGAACCTCTTAGGCTTGGACTTAGAGGTCTCAGTGTCAGAATGAAGAGTGGAGCCATCTGACCCAGGCCCATTGCCAGTACAACAGTTGCTACTGGTGAATGTTTTCATCCCCAATACTTATACAAAGGCGATGAATGAGTATTTGTCTATCTGAAGGATGTAAAGCAAGATAAGTAGGGGCATGGGTGGTTACATCCTGAGACAGAGCCTCCTATGAAGTATTTAAAGTCCTGGAGCTGTATTTTTTGTATAAAAAAATGCTGCCGTTCTCTGCCTTTTTTTCCAAGAAGAGCATGCTATTTTAGCTGCAAACCACTGCTTGCCCTACGGCTGCCAAAGCTGCTTTATAGGATCAAGCTGCTCATCAGATACTCTCTTGAACCAATGAATTGTTCACAACCTCAGGGAGTTTAAATGTTAGCTGGTAAAGCCAAAGAATATGAACTGTACTGTAGTCAGCCTATCAGCATTTTGCAGCTAGCCTGATCCTTTGTATTCTAGAGAGCTCCTTCTCTTTAATTACTGCACATTTAAAACTAATAAACGCTAGTTCCTAGTCAGAGTGAATCTCTCTCTTTCTGATAACATGCTTTTTCCAAGAAAATTAATCATTTTCCCTGTGTAATGATGGCATCATTGGCACACTTTTCAGTTTGGATGGCACACTGAATCTTTTTAGGGAAGTACTGAGGCTTCTATATGATTAGTTTCAGTTTATTATTATTAGTATCATCAGTGTCAGCAAGAAACAATGAATTAGTCCTAGGTCAGTATAATGGACTGAATGAATCACTATTCTGTTTACTTCGATGCTTACTACAGCAGCTTCAAGCATCAAACAACATCTTTGATGGTCCAAGGAGGCACTCTCCATATTGTATGGTTGAGTTTTTTTCACTGTTCATAGAAAAGCAAGGGTGGGAATATAATGTTTGAATAATTCAGTTCTATTGTGGGATGCTTAAGTGTCCTTAGCATATCATCTTTTTTACTTTTAAGAAAGTGTAGTTTGGACCCAGAGGATTAGGAGGGAATGATGTCAACGCACTACAGTGTCAAAGTCCTGACAAACTCCTGTTTCATGGTTTTTTTTGCTTTGATGTTGGGGAACTTTGATTGCTCTGTAGTTTCTGAAGATTGTTCTCATTCTTCAGCATTTTAAAACTTTAGGTTATTCAGTAAATGGGGGCAGAGGGAAAGAAAGGAAGAAGAATGGAATTTATAGATACCAATGTGTTGCTCAAATTATAGGAAGCAGATTCCAATGTAGATAAGTTGACGTAACAAGGATGTTTTTGTAGTATGCGTGGAATTGCCACACCTTACTCACTCACATTGTCTAGGGCAGAGGCAGGGAACCTTTTTCAGCCTGAGGACCACACTCCTATGGCGGGGGGGACCACACTCCAAAGGTGGGCAGATTAAGAAACAAACATGAGTGGAGCAATGAATTTACCTTTGTACGATTGGCTAGTTTCTACACACTCCCGCAGACCTCTCTGTATTCTTCATCCAGGCAAGCAAAAGTCATTTAAAGCTTTTAAGGACACATTCCAGTCAGGCAAGAACACTCATGGAGGGTGTGAAGCAAGGCCAGTGAGGGCTGGGGAGTGGGTGTGGACTGGAGAGAATCCTAGGAACATAATGGAGAGACTCTTTTTAATGAGTGCTAGAACACTTTTCTAGCTTTAATTTCTTTAATATTAAAATATTAGTAGAATAATGCTTAAATAATAGAATCATAGTAGAGTAGTAAGGGACACCAAGAGCCATGCAGGGATCTCAGCTAAAGCATCCCATGACAAACCTCTGCTTTAAAATCTCCAAGGATGGCTGGCTACTGCTACTGGCAGCCTTCTGCACTTTTGGCTGGTATAGCAAGGGCATCAGCCGAGCCAGGGCCACCCTCCCTGCCAGCTGAGAACACCTTCATTGCATCCTAACTTCCTCCAGCAGTGTGGATTAGGGGTTCAGTTTGCACACCTCCCCAACCCCCCCAATATTTCAGCAGTGTATTTCCCCCCAATTAGGCACTTCCAATCTACACCTCTGATTCAAAACAAATGTTAAACACTGCTTTGGGGAATTTATGACTAGTAATAGGCAAGCACACATGAACGAATAAGCACTTAGCAATAAGTAAACAATTATCCTTTTAGAGATCATTCAAATTCCCCACCCCAGCCCCATATGGCCACGCAGGTGAATTGGATCTTTCCCTTTCCAGCGTACACCTGTTCTGACATGCCCACTCGTGCAGAGAGTACATAGAAGGATAAACATGTAGAAAAAGCAGAATACAGGGTAGAAAGTCAATTGCTATCCCACATTCTGCTTACAATGGAAGAGCAATGATTTATTAGTACAAGGAGCCGCCTATCTGTAAGAAGCCTAAGAATTAAATGAGTACATTTTATAAGTGTTATATTCAAATATCCAGTGGTACGTTGTTTCTATTTGCCGGAAACCATTCCTGTTTTCTGATAGCCACATCTGGTAAATGACTGTGCATTTTGCCTTTGGTTGAAATTTTGGGAATATAGTGGTACCTTGGTTTACGAATTTAATCTTTTCCTGAAGTCTGTTCTTAAACCAAATCCGTTCTCAAACTGAGGCGTGCTTTCCCTAATGAGGCCTCCCACCGCTGGTGCCCTTCCACCATTCATAGGCTTCCATTCATAGCCTGAGGTAGAGTTCGCAAACCGGAACACTACTTCTGGTTTTGCGGAGTTTGTAAACCAAATAGTTCGTAAACAGGACTGTTCGTAAACTGAGGTACTACTGTACTTCATAACAATTTTGTTAGAATATACATGCGGGTCTTGCTATCTGCCCACTCGCTATATGAAAATTCACGTATCCATATGTAAAGAATCATGCCCAAATCTCACTATACACTCCACAGATTCATATATCTGAACATCTGGAGTTTGCACATTTCCGTACTTCCTCGCTTGTTTGTGCTTTGTTGATTGGCAGCAGCCATTTCTGGGCAGAAACCAAGCAAGGAAGGAGAGAGCAAGATCAGACAATTCAGGGAACAGGAGAGAATGGACAGATCAGCTTTTCCTTTGACTCTCTTTTGTTGGCTGACTGCAGCCATTTCAGGAAGAAATTATTGAAAAGGAGGAGAAAGAGCTTGGGTAAAGACTGGATGCCTTACATGATATCTAGGAGGACACCATGGTGAAAGGCACTGAAAGATCAAGCAACATTATGCACATGTATTTTGGATGAGCCACCTATGAATCAGTTAAAAGGCAAGTGATTAATAAAATAAAACTTGTTTATTCCATTGATAGACCGTATTTTTCATTTTCTTAAATTAACCAAATATTTATTACAGCCAACCAATCATTAAAGAAATTGCAAAATATATAATATACAGAACAACGGTGGTAAATTAGAAGCTAACATTCATAACAGATCTAAGAGATATTACGACATTCAGATATATGGCCACCTGTTCCATAATGGATTTCTTATATCCCTCAAGGAGGATACTCAAAAGGGTCTCTAAGGATCAAATGGGAAACTGCCTCACAGGGCAACAGAATCTGCAGTAGAAGAAACACATGATAGACTAAGCTCTAAATGATTGTCAGGAGAAGCATAGAATATCCGCTTCACAAAATTTGTGACTGCTGTATGACTGAATAAATGGCCCTCCTTTTGGGGGTGGAGTCTGAGTCTACTGGGGAGAGTGCTCCGTTTTCTTGAATCTAAAAGATAAAGAAAATGGGAGGAGAGGTCATCAGGAAACACCTTTCGTAAATAAAGTATAGTGGTACCTCTGTTTATGAACTTAATTCATTCTGGAGGGCCGTTCTTAAGCCAAAAGCATTCTTAAACCGAGGTGCGCTTTCCCTAATGAGGCCTCCCGCCGCTGGTACCCCTCCACCATTCGCCTTCCGTTTGTCTTCTGGGGCAAAGTTTGCTAGCTGGAACACCAACTTCTGGTTTTGCGGAGTGCGTTGCCCGAATCATTTGTTAACAGGACTGTTCTTAGATTGAGGTACCACTGTACAACATTTGTGTGTTACAGTGCATACATATTTTGTTAGCTATGCAACTGTTTCATTTTTCAGAGTAAAAATTAGAGCCACAATAAAGCATTCTCTACTGAAGCAATGTGGCACTTATCAGACCAAGCACCTCAACTTGAGTCACCCATATTGTTAATCTGAACCCTTTCCAGGCAAACTGAAAATGGATCACTGTCTGAGCTAAATCGACAGCTATATTGGAGAATCCTGTCTGCTCAAGCAGCCAACATTTCATTGGTCTGCAGAATCACAACTGCCCACACTCACAGCAAAAGGACCATTTTATGGTTCCCACAAATATGCTCAATGAATCCATTAGGAGCAAATAGCCCAAACAAACTATTAAAAGAACCTTTAAAATATTCTAGAGACTGCTTAATGGTGTGACATTCATCCCATTGAGAATTGGAAGAAAAATGTCAGAGACACTTAAAGCTCAGTAAGTAGAACTATAAAGTGAATCCAGAGAGGCACCTCTGCTAGCTCTTGATACTAAAAAATTGTCAGGCTACAATGAATAAATGCAGGGAGAAACATAACAAACGTAAATGTAAAGAAAATGTGTAGCTGATAAGGTATGTATATCTGCTTTCTGCTATCAACATAACAGGAATATGTTAAATAGGCAAGTTGTTAAAAGCACTTTGTAAAACACTAAGGCCATCTTAAAAATAAGTGATCAGCCAGAGCCTTAGTTCCCAAAATACACCATTACGCTCCATGGAATTCAAGCAAGTTATGTGCAGAGTTGTAGTCAAAGCAGTGAAATAGAAAAATAGACATATGCAAGTGGGACCTACAACAAAATGACCACATGAGGATCAGCATTCACCCCTGAAGTTCGCAAATATCGAGAATAACAATGAAACATACAGTGGTGCCCCGCAAGACGAATGCCTCGCAAGACGAAAAACCCGCTAGACGAAAGGGTTTTCCGTTTTTCGATGCGCTTCGCAAGACGAATTTCCCTATGAGCTTGCTTCACAAAACGAAAAAGTCTTGCGAGTCTTGCGATTTTTTCGCTTTCCCCCCCTTTTTCTAAGCCGCTAAGCCGCTAATAGCCTTTTAGCCGCTAAGCCGCTAAGCCTTTAATAGCAGCTAAACCGCTAAACCGCTAAACCGCTAATAGCGCTAATCCGCTAAGCCGCTAATAGGGTTGCTTCGCAAGACGAAAAAACGCTAGACGAAGAGACTCGCGGAATGGATTATTTTCGTCTTGCGAGGCACCACTGTATTTTCCTATGAAGTCACCACAGATATAAATGCACTGTTCAATTGGGAGTTTTCAAACAATGACTTGAAAGCTTTAGATTTTAAAACAAAACACAACCCTTTTCACTAGTGTTACATGAGTTCCTGGAATTAGCTGAGGGTCTTCCCAATATTATTCAAAATATGAAGGAATACCAAGATTTCACAGAAATCCCAAGGTCCAGAGAGCTCTCCAAGCTCTCCCTTTACACAATCACTGACCTGGAAGCCATTAGAAACTTCCCAGGCAAGCTATAGATAACAGACACTTCTGAGCATGCTTGGGAAAGCCTCTGCTGTTACTCTACCCCCTCCTGCCAACTGCTGTTGTCACCCTCTTCACAAGTGCAAGGTTGCTTGGGGTAGGGTGTGGGGTAGAGCGGAGACACGGAGTGAGTTGGATGCTTGAAAGATACTGGGCTCTGCTCATAATGAACTGTCATCACTAATTTCAACCTATATATTTTGGATTATGTATCTATTTTTTTACAGTAAGCAGGAGTGTTGTTTTGGAACTTTTAGAATACTGAAAGTACGTATTTTGTTACTTTGGACCTTCTACGGATACACTAAAGCTATACCTTTCAACATTACTGAAATGAAAATAGGGACGTCCCATTCCATTATTATTATTATACTTATACCCTGCTACTCTAGGTGACTTCCAACAAATATAAAAACATAATAAAATGTTAAAAAACAAAAAACTTCTCTATTCATGGCTGCTTTCAGATGTCTTCTAAAGGTTCTATAGTTACTTATCTCCTTGGCTCAGGAGTCACATAAATTCTTACCCTCTGATGAAAATAGGGACGTCCTAAGGAAAAGCATGGAAGTGAGAGCTGGACCATAAAGAAGGCTGATCGCCAAAGAATTGATGCTTTTGAATTATGGTGCTGGAGGAGACTCTTGAGAGTTCTATGGACTACAAGAAGATCAAACCTCTCCATTCTGAAGGAAATCAGCCCTGAGTGCTCACTGGAAGGACAGATCCTGAAGCTGAGGCTCCAATACTTTGGCCACCTCATGAGAAGAGAAGGCTCCCTGGAAAAGACCCTGATGTTGGGAAAGATGGAGGGCACAAGGAGAAGGGGATGACAGAGGACGAGATGGTTGGACAGTGTTCTCGAAGCTACAAACATGAGTCTGACCAAACTGCGGGAGGCAGTGGAAGACAGGAGTGCCTGGTGTGCTCTGGTCCATGGGGTCACGAAGAGTCGGACACGACTAAATGACTAAACAATAACAACAAGGAAAAGCAGGACATTCCAGGATCAAATCAGAAACTGGGATGGCTTCTGTAATTCTGGGACTGTCCCTAGAAGCTAGGGACACTTGGAGGGTCTGTAAAGCTAAGAAACCATTACATTTATTTCCTTTCTCATACTCCCCCCCTTCTCTCTCTCTCTCTCTCTCTCTCTCTCTCTGTTGTTCTCTTGTTTTCTAGCATTTTCTCTTTTTCAGTAAATCCATTACTAATTATGTGTCATATCATTTCTTTGCCAGTTTGACTTGGTGGCCTTCTGTCTTCACCTCCTGTAACTTCTCTCTCTCTCCTCCCCTGTAGTTCTTTTAATACAAATATTTTCATTTTAGGACTTAATACTAAGCTTATGATTGCAATAAAGCTGGATGTTTAAAGGCTAGGTTATAATAGAGCAAAATATTCCAACGAAATAATTATAGAGCATGTTTTGTTTTACTTTATTCACTGTCTTGAAAGTGCCATTCACACACACAGCTGGTCAAACAGTACTTAGGTATGAATAACCATCATTGCCATTTTATCCCTTTTTTATTAATTACTCTTTTACTTCTGAATTTCTTCAAACATAATGATTATTCATAACTACAAGAACATCTTCCAGAGGAAGGTTTGCTTTTGGAATTTGTGCTGCTGCTGGTTTTGTCAGCTAAACTCCTTAGCTGAATGCCATTCAGCTCTCTGATATGATGATTAACTGACAAATAATACAAAGTCTATTGCAAATATATTTCAGTTGTGTTTTGATGTCATCATTCATACTAAATCGCTGGAAGCACTTGGAATCTGTGAATATTTCCATATCAGTGGAAACTTCTAAATAACCAAGAGTCACTGTTATTTATTTATTTGAAATATTTCTTAACCACCCATCATCTGAAGATTCGAGAGCAGTGTACAAAAGTGTGGCAACCACTCACACAATGTATAATTACAATATCGTAAAAGAAACACAATAAAAAACAAAATAAAAAACAAAATAATACATCTCAAATGAGAGTAAGGTGCATACAAAAAAAACAATCTTATCTCTGTACAGTGGTACCTTGGGTTACAGACGCTTCAGGTTACAGACTCCGCTAACCCAGAAATAGTACCTCGGGTTAAGAACTTTGCTTCAGGATGAAAACAGAAATTGTGTGGCAGTGGCGCGGCAGCAGCGGGAGGCCCTATTAGCTAAAGTGGTGCTTCAGGTTAAGAACAGTTTAAGGTTAAGAACGGACCTCCAGAACGAATTAAGTTCTTAACCCGAGGTACCACTGTTTACGTATATATTGAGCTCTTAAGTGTATGGACTGTATGGGTGTGGTAGGGGCAGGATGGTGTAAGGAGAGACATATCCAGCTCAGTCCCATAACCTAGTAAACTGGTGAAACTCAGCCAGCAAAAAGGGTGGTATGAGCTAAATTCTTCCTGTATAGAGATTGGAACAGAGGTACCAGTTTTCTATAGGCTTGCTCTGTTAATCTCTATATTGCTTGTTGAATGCTGCCTTCTAGCTCATCTTAGCATCCTGAGGAACCCATTTCTATTTTGTAATGAACAGTAAATTATTTGATTCCAAGCCTTGGTCTCTTTGCAGGTTACTAATTCCTCAAGGTATAAGTGTCTCAGGGCCTTGTCAGTGATGGACCCAGTAATGTGGAACTCCCTCCTCATAGAGTTGCATCTGGCTCTTTCTCTTTATAACTTGCATCAATT